CTGCAGTCCTTGACCCTCTGCAGTAAGTGCATGAGGTCCTCCTCAGTTTCAGCGAGCAAGGTTGTGTCATCTGCATAACGCAGATTGTTAGCGACCCTATATGTACAGCAGCTCTGAAGTCTGCCCTGCCCTTACTCAGTCTCACTGACTCCATCACACCTATCCCCATTGCCCCAGTTACTGTATCAATCTGTCTCACCCAGGGTTTTCCTCTCCTGCACTGTCTCTCCACCCTTCCAAGCATGACATTCTTCTCCAAGGACTGATCTCTCCTGGCCACATGCCCAAAATATATGAGACAAAGCTTCAAAATTCTAGCCTCCACGGAGAACCTTGTTTTCACCCTCTCCAAGACAGACCTATTTGTTTTTTTAGTGGTCCATGGTATGTTCAGTACTCTTCTCCGTATATAAATGAATAAGGAAAAACAAATAATAAAAGAATAGTTAATACCTTTGAATTTTAGTGTTGGTGAGGAATATTAAATATATCACAGATTTTCAGAAGAAAAGACAAATTGGTCTTAGAAGAAGTACAGCCAGAAATAGCCTTATAAACAAGAGTAGTAGGACTTCTTATGTACTTTGGACTTGTTATCAGGAGGGCATGGACCTTGGAGAAGTGCATCATCCTTGCAATAGGTAGAAGATAAGTGGAAACAAAAGGAAGACTCTCAGCAAGATGGACTGGCCCCTTGACTGTGTAACAAGAGGCTCAAACAGCAACCATGATGAGGCTAAGGCAGGGCCAGACGTGTTCATTCTGTCGTACACGAGTTCACTGTGAGTTGGAACTGACTCAATGAATCTTAACAATCATACATATATGTATACATAGATAGCAAATATATCATTACCTTTTCATAACAGCGAGGAGGATAAACACACTTTGATCACAGAATTTCCTTACCTGTAAGCTCTTCATGGAAGATGAACACAGACACAAAGACCACAAGCACATGGAAGGTTTCTCACCATTCGCTTAAAATGGCTCAGACATTTCCATAGGTTACAATCCTTTCCCTTATCGTAAAATTTCTTCTTGAAAGAGATATTGTAAAAGTACTCCTCCAAATCTTTCCCCATTTCCTAACTCGTTAGACAACCACTTCACATGAAATCTTAAAATATATTACAAGGGTGAATTGACCTTGGAAAACTAGACATGTCATGAAGTAGAAAACAAAGGCTTTGTGCTTGTGAACTCACTCACTGCTTCTTCAGCTATTCTATCTTCAATAAATATCATAAAGGGGAAAAGACTCAAGAATCTGAAACACAAAAATCTTCAAAAGAAAGTAAATTAAATGATGATAAATGGTTTTAAACAAGACTACAGATAAAGTAATATGTGCCCCAATTTTAAACTGTTTTCAACAAAACTGAAGTTCCCTTTTCCTTTTTGACTACCCTTTCATTTCTAATAAATTCTAAAACTTTTAAAATTCCTTAGAAAAAATATGAAAGACTGTTGTTGTTGTAACTGCCAGAAGTCCAGGCTGGGTTTAGAAGGGGTCATGGTACTAGGGATATTGTAGTGAACGTTAGATGGATCTTAGCTGAAAGCAGGGAGTACCAGAGGAATGTCTATCTGTGCTTCATTGACTATGCAAAAGCATTTGACTATGTGGATCATAACAAACTGTGGCTGACTCTGAGAAGAACGGGAATCCCAGAACACTTGATAATGCTAATGAGAAACCTCTACTGGGACCAAGAGGCAGTCATCAGAACAGAGCAAGGAAACACTGCATGGTTCAAAATTGGGAAGGGCGTATGCCAGGGACGTGTCCTGTCTCCATACCCTTTCAACTTGTATGCAGAACAGATTATCTGGGAGGCTGGGCTCTATGAGGAGAAATGTGGGGTCAAGAATGATGGAAGATCTATCAACAATCTGCGTTATGCAGATGATACAACCCTGCTTGCTGAAACTGAGGAGGACCTGAAGTGCTTGCTACAGAGGGTCAAGGACTGCAGCCTCCAATATGGATTGAGGCTCAATGTCAAGAAGACAAGAATGAAAGACTACTTAAAGATAAAATTTAAAGATGACTTTTAAAGAAATTTTCATTAAAATAAAGTTTTATTTTGAAAAAGACATTTTCAAATTGATCTTAAAACATATTTAGAGGGGAAAAAAATAAAACATATTTAGAGGGGAAAAAAATATATGCTTAGAAGCTCTAGTTCTCGAAACCAGACACTAGGATATAATTTCTTTCCTTATCAGCTCATGGCTTGCACTATATGAACACCTTTTACTAAGTACACACAATTTGTAAATGTACTTAGTCACTGACACATGAGATGAAAGAAATAAATGGTCTATAAGTAACCACTATACTTTTGCAAGTTGATAAATTATACTCATTAGACCACATGGCTATGATATTAAGAACAATCACCAAAAAATGCAAACTTTGAGGCATCAAAATAAATGAGAAAGAAATTTTTAAATACTAGCCTTGCAGTGCATCTTGAAGAGAAAAATAACAATTTACCAGTGCATGCCAGTTGACGTCTCAGGTCCAGTTTTTGAGCCAGGTGGAGCCCTTTTCTAATTCTAGTAATGAGTTGAACAGCACTTTAATCCACCAAAATAGCAATTTCTTTCTCCTTAGAGTTTATGTTTTTTAGGACATTATTTAATCCTAGTTTAAATTATTTTTTTTAAATATTTATCTGCATTTGTGAAATTATAAAGCAAATCATGTTATGTGCACTAGAATAAGTCTCAACCTTGCTATGGACACCTAGTAGTTGTATAACCTTGGGTGAATCATTTTATGTCCTTACACCTCAGTGTCCTTAACTAAAATATGGTTCATTGTAATACCGACCTTGCAGTTTTAAGAACGGAATGTTATACAAGCTAAATGTTCTATAGGTGTTAGATAGGTCAATCTCATCATCATTATCAGAGTTAGAGGAATTTAATCAAAGAAAAGAAATTCCTGCCAACTGCAAGAACACCAATTGATTAGCATTTGTCAATTTCTGTATTGGCTCCACAACGTCTTTTCACAGGCATTCAGTTCAGATAGATGTTGCAGTTACAGCATGGAGCTTGCTAGTTGATCATTGACTGAACATGGTAAACATATGACATTACTGAATTGTTTCATATTATCCTTGCATTGACAGTAAAATGGTATTTACTACCATTCCCATGTTACAGATAAGGAAATTGAAGCCTAGAGTATTAACCCACATCTCCTAGCAAAAAACGAACCTGTGATAAGAATCCAGGCCATCTAAATTCAGAGCTTTGACAGCCAACTCACTTATAGCAATTTCCTTAAATTTCAAGAAACAAAACAAAAAAGCAATATGCTAAATTTCTTGGGGTATTTTCAGCTAATAGCTAAATAAATCCTCTTAAATTCCAAAAGATATGTATTAAAGTCCATACCTTCTCGTCTGAGAACCCATGTATTTCTATATAGTGGACCGCCATGTTAGAAAAGGAAAGCTACATTTCAAAATGTTCACATTTCACAGATCGTTTCTTTAAAGTGAACCAGGTCTGATGGCAAGACCTGAAAAGAAAAATTTCAAGGAGGAAATAAACCTAAAGTATTTACCTGTCGTAGCCAGAATGGAGGGAAAGAAGGTGAGAGCCAGGAGCGCCCTGAGGATCATTGTCCTAGCGGTGGGCCAGGGTTCCAGCCCCTCCTCCCTGCGGAGCTCAGCGAGCAAGGCGAGCTGAAGAGGCTTCTGGTGGAGCCTGAGCAGCTCACCCATCGACTCTCCCCTCCTGGAGCACATGATCAGGCCCTCAAACCACAGGCATAAGATTGCAACTTTTCACACAGGATATTACATTATTTTGATGACTTTAGACTTTTTGTCTCTTCTTTGAAAGATAAGCGTTTTCTTGCCACTGAAAAAGATTATACGTGATGGGTTTGTGAGAATTATTCTTTATTGATCAGGATCAGAGCTATGAAAAACAGTGCTTGGAATTCAGTAAAACTCAGACACAGAAAAGATAGTTGGAAAGAGAAACAGCATCTCTTGTGGAAGAAAGTCCTTTATAGTACAGAGCTCAAAACACTCAAATTCATTGACAGCAAATCAGAACCAATTCCTAACTGGCTGTCCATTTCCGTCTTGATTTCCAAGAGTGGAGCTTGACTGTGACAAAAGAACAAGGTTAAGAGTTGTACTGAAGAGTTGTTGTTGGTGGTGGTATGTTCCGTCGAGCCGCTTGTGACTCATAGAGACCCTATGTACAAGAGCCCTAAACCCTATTCTATCTTGTGCCAACCTCACTCTCTCCGACACACCTACTCCCATTACCCCATTCACTGGATTGATCCATCTCATCAAGGGTCTTTCTCTCTTGCGCTGTCCTTCCACCCTACCAAACATGATGTCCCTCTCCAAGGACTGGTCCTTCTTTGCAACATGTCCAAAGTATGTCAGAGGAAGCTTCAGAATCTACATATAAATTAGAAATTAAAGGAGTTATAAATACAGGAATTTAGCTATTGTCTTGGGTGCAAGTTAAGCACAAATAGCTACATTTTTAGATCAAGCTCTCCTTAAGTCAATTCTGGGAACTATGCCAGATACACCTTACTTGCAAATACCCAGCTAGCTGAGTATCTGGAGGAAGTTACCAAAGCAAAAAGAAAGTTAAAAGAAAAGAAAAACAAAAACCCATCATATCATCATATGTTCTTTGCAGTGTTAGGGGGTGGGGAGGTAGTGGGAGAGAATAAAGTAACTGAAAGCCTCTTGGTATCTTACTTAGCTCTCTATCTATGTTCCTTAAAGAATGATTAAAGGTTAAGAAGTCCCTGAGTGGCAGAAATGGTTAAATGCTAACTACTAGTGAAAGGCTAGGAACCTGAACTCTCAGAGGGGTATCTTGAAAGATAGGCTGGTTGATAGATATGCTTCTGAAAATCTCTACCAAACTGTTCAACTCTACACATGGGGTTGACATGAATTGGAACTGACTTGACAGCAACTGACAAGGAATAGGCCATGGAAGGAGGATACACAGCTGGATCCCCAACGCTTGTGACCGTGTCCTGCACCCTTGTCCTTGTACCTGTGAACATTTCATTGGCATAGCAGAAAAAATTTCAAACCATTTTCCTTTCTTTCTTATAAGCTAGGCTTTAGATGATTAGTTTTATATTGTGTGTGTTGTAGAGCTTAAGATAATTTGTTGTTGTTGTTGTTGTTGTTAAGTGCCATTGAGTTGCTGGCGACTCATCAGCGACCCTATGAAGGAGAGTCCTCGATGCTTGGGTGCCTTTCATCCTCTCTCTCCAGGTTCATAGGGTTTCCGGAGGCAAGCTATTATGGAAGTGGATGCCACTCCTCCTTCCAAGCTTGTTTTAATCAGGGAGCTCCACCCCACTTCTGTCCACATTGGGTAGCCAACCATTAACACATTTGACACATCCGTGTTACAGTGTTCAGCCTCACAGCAACCACAAGTGACCGCAGGACGGCAACTTGTACACCAGGGCTATACAACCTAGAGGAATGTCTGAACAAAAACAATGAAAAGACTGGTCTGAGGGCTGCAGATTAAAAGTCACTCACCTTTGTCTTGGTAGCATTGTTTTCTGTTCACTGGGCCAGCTGATCTCTCTCTCTCTATTTCTTAACTTAATAACTTAAGTTATTAAGATAACTTGTACCACACTTAATTTTTATTACAAAAGTAAAATACTCTATGTAAAAATTTGGAATAAATACAGAGAACAACTTCATCCATATTCTTACCCATCATCATCTAGTTAGCTCTAACTCATAGAGAGCTTATAGGCAAAGTAGAACTGACTCCCAAGGCTTGCAAAGCTGTAGTCTTTACAGACCACCACGTCTTTGTTCTGCAAAGTATCTGGTAGATTCCAATTGGCAACCTTTTTGTTAGCAGCCAAATGTTTTAGCCACTTCGTCACCAAGGTTCCATAGCTTGATATAGTGACTATTAAAATCCTGATGGAGCTCTGGTGTTGTAGTCCACAGGAAACTGTTGCTACAAAGGCTGTACCTCTGAGCAGTTCAAATCCACCAGCTGCTCCACAGAAAGAAGATGGACAATCTCCTCTTGTGTGACATTCAGCCTCGCAAATCCAAAGGAGAGTCAGCTATGGGTTGGTTCTGACTCAATGGCAGTGAGTACATGAGTAAATATTTTCATCCATTTCTATCCTTTTGTCTATTAAGATTTTTACTTAATTAATATATATTATGTATGTAATAATATATATATCTCTTCAAATTGGTAGAATACAGTATTATATACAGAATAGAAGGAGAATTGATGTCTTTGAGCTGTGGTACTGGAGAAGAGTATTGAGGGTACTATGGACTGCTAGGAAAACAAACAGATACATCATGGAGAGGGTTAAACTGGAGGTCCCTTGGAGGCAAGGATTCTGAGGATCTGTCTAACATATTTTGGACATGTTGTAAGGAGGGACAGGTCCTTGGAGAGGGACATCATGCTTGGGAGGGTGGAGGGACGGCGCAGGAGAGGAAGGCCCTATATGAGGTGGATTGATTCAGTGACTGGGGCAATCGGAAAGGGTGTGTCAGAGACAGTGCGATTGGCACAGGACAGAACAGAGTTTAGGGCTGTTGTTCATAGGGTCACAAATGACTCGGTGGCACATAACAACAACAACATTTATTATTAATTAGTCTTTTAATATTTTCTAATGACTTTTAAGGATTCTTCATAAACATCATTTGTAGTAGATACTATACAATCCTACAATTATATCTTAAATCATCTCACAATTTCCTAAGCATTGAAAGTCATAATCACCCTGACAGCATACACAAGTATCTTTGCCAACTTTTTGCTCTATAAAATGCTATCATGAACATCTTTGATCAACAAGTAATAAAAGGGAGAAGATTCATTTCCTTCCTTCCTGATACAATCAATGACATCAAAAACATCATGAATGCCTTCAAAGATCAAGACTTACACAATCTATGGAGAGGATGGGGTTTTATTTCCATTTTATAGATAAGAACTCAACCCATCTGAAACCAGGATTAGAACATGTTGTTGTTGTTGCTAGATGACATCAAGTCCGGTTCAACTCATTAGTGACCCTATGAACAATGGATCTGAACCTTGTCCTATCCTGTGCCATCTTCATCATCTCTGACATACTTGAGCCCATTGCTGCAGTCACTCTGTCAATCCATCTGGTTGAGGATCTTCCTCTTCTTTGCAGCCTCTTTCCAAGCATGATGTCCCTCTCAAAGAAATAACCTCCCCTACCAGCAAGGCCCAAGTATGTAAGACAAACTTTTGTCAACTTTATCCCCAAGGAGCACTCTGGTTGCACCTTCTTCAAGACATACTTGTTTGTTCTTTTGCTACTCCATGGGATAGTCAATACTCTTCTTCAACACCACAGCTCAAAGGCATCAACTTTTCTGTCATTCTTATCTATTGTCCAGCTCTCAGCTTACATCATTGCTCCTCAATAATTTGGAGAAGTGTTTTCAGACTTTCTCAGTGCAATGTGTCTCCTAATCTCCTGACTGCTGGCTCCAAAGGTGTTGATTGTGGATCCAATTAAGTTGAAGTGGTTGAAAATTTCAATCTCTTCTCTGTCCATCATGATGTTGCTTATCAATTCAGTGGTGAGGATTTTTGTTTTCTTGACATTCAGATGTAATCCATATTGAAGGCTTTGCTCTTCTGCAGCATGTACTTCAAGTCCTTCTTACTTTCAGCAAGCAAGGTGTATCACCTGCTTAATAAATGTTGTGAATAACTCTTCCTCCAATCCTGATGCCACATTCTTCTTCAGAGAGTCCAGCTTCAAGAATTATTTGCTCAGCATACAAATTGAATAGGTATGAAAACAGGATAGACCCCTGATGCACACCCTTCCTGATTTTAAACCATGTAGTGTTTCCTTGCTCTGTTTGGACAAGAGCCTCTTGATCTAGGTGTATGTTCCACATGAACATAATTAAGTGTTCTTGGATTCCCATTCTTCTCAATGTTAACAAAAATTTGTTATTATTACACAGTCAAATGTCTTTGCATAGTCAATAAAGCACAATTAGGCATTTTTCTTGTATTTCCTGCATTCAGCCAGGATCCATCTGGCATCGGCAATGATACCTTGGGCAATATAGTTTCTCTAATTCTAGCTTGAACTTCTGGCAGTTCTATTTCAATGTATTGTTCTAGTTGTTTTTATGTTATAACATAGATAAATCTCTTTTAATCCCTATTATCTCATGGACTGCCAAAAGAACAGATATGCCTTGGAGAAAGTACTTCTTGAAGGCAAAAATGGTGAAGCTTTGTCTCATACTTCAGGCATGTTGTTAGGAGGGGAGGCTATTCCTTGGAAAGGGAGCTTTAGTGGTAAGGAATTGTGCTGCCAACACAAAGGTAGAAGGTTCAAATCCACCAGCTGCTCCACAGGAGAAAGATGGGCAATCCCATCC